AAAGTCACATAGCTATTAAGAGGTGGAATTAGGATTTGAACCCAGGCAGCATGAGTTCATACCTGCAGTCATTGTACTATAATTCAACAAGCGCAGGTGCTCTGGGCCCTCATCGATTTGCCCGAAGGAGAAAGCTTCTAGTCTTTTCCAGGCCCCCTTCTAAGTACTTCTGATACACATCTGCCCAGACACTTCATGTGACCCGATCTTTGCTTGCCACTGGTATTGGCCAAGCTCAACCTATATAGCTCCTCCTCTTTGTATAACCAACAATTTCGGTATTAAGCAATTTCAAATAGGTTCTCTTCCATGGTCCCTTCCCCTGAACCAGTGCCGCTACCACCCCACTGGCCTCAGCATGAGGAGAAGCACTACGCCTCCCCCTTTCTCTCTATGCTCAGCATGAATACCATACCCAAATGTGATCACACCCTTTCTTTAATTTCCCACAACACAATTAAGGATGAGTTTATCACTTGGCAGGATTTTACTGAAGGTTGGAGATAAATAAAGATTATCAAACCACAGAATAAATTACAATTATGAAATGGACTTTTAGGAGTGAACCAGTCCAGGCCCATCCTTGAAGAGCTCCCATCACAGGGCACCTCCTGGCTTGATTTCTGACCTGCCTCTATGTGGCCGGGGCCAGGTTTTCACCACATAGCATGCTTTGGAGTCTATATTCAGCAGAGTCTGGGCCCACTGCCCAAGCTCCAGTTAAAGAAGGAAATCCTCTCTCAACCCAGTTTAAAACTGAATTTCACAGATTTTATTCCTTTCTCTTACTAATAAAAAGTACCAAAACTTGGCATATAAAAGGATGACTTTATGTCCTTCCTACAACATACCTGAGCACTAACAGGTCTGCTTAAGGCTCATCTAATTTTCTAAGAGGATTCCGCCTTATTTGATTTACTATTTGCTATTGATAAAGTTCCAGGTCCTGTGCAGTTAGATGTTAACGTTTAGAAGACTCTTTAATTGCAAATGATTTTTATCCAGTTGAGATACAAATTATTTCTGTTTGATAGAAAAGATAACACCGAAGGTTACATTTTATGTTCATAGTGGATATTAATCAGTTTTGTATTTAATTTAATAATGTCATTTCATCATTTTTTTCCCCTTTCTGGGCCTACACTGAACCTATACTCCATTGAATCAGTTTAACCTTTGGCTTCATCCCATATTAATGCTTTTGACATGAACTTACTTCATTTTTATGAATTATATTTTTAACTTTTCAAAAATTACACTTTGATATTCTGCTTGGCTTCTTCACAAAGTTAGTAAAAATAAAAATGTTCACTTCCTTCAGAGAAAGTCTCACCAACAGGTTTACACCTAATCTTTTTGGGACTTGGAAAACATTATAAATGTGGGTCCATATATAAGACTGAATATTTGAAAGTTGTAAATTAGGATTATAGACTATTAAATGAAATGTATTCTTCCCTTTTACCTTCATAAGTATTTTGTCATAATGAATGTATTAAAAAATACACATTAAGCTTTAGCAATTTTATTACAGAATGTCAACAAAATATCAGAAATGATCAAATTTAAATAATGTAACACATGTTTGGCTTTTCCACTGAAAGGAGGAAAGTATTTGGGTGAATAATAAAGTAAAACATAAATTATTATGTATTTATTTTATACAATTTATTTTTCTAGCCTCCATATCAGCAAAATGACTCATTAGCTGTTATTATCAAGGTTTTCACATAATTTGTACTCTGTGGACAGAAATGCCAAATGAGACCTTTATTGAATCATGACAGTGATTAAAGTAGAATTAGTTGCTTTAAGAACTTCAGTTTGGAAAATTTGTCTGGAACTGTTTATAAATTTACAATACTTGAAACTATTCTATGTTCAAAAGTTGTAATGGAGGTAATACTTGAAAATGAACACCACAGATATTTTTTAATATTTAATTTAATTATGTAACTTTATATTACTTACATCAAGATTTTTACCATTTCATAATGCAGCATCTAAAACCATACATGTTTATTTGATTTCTTTCAATGTTAGTATATTATAAAGAAAATATAAAGTAGGAATATATGCCTCAATCAATATGCTCAACTATATTCTATCAAAAACACACCTTGAATTTATAATATCCAGAAAATAGTATCTATAGAAAATAGTTTCAGTATTATTTGTATCTGAATCTTCCCCTTTATAATTATGCAACTATTTCCATTTCCTTAATTTCTTCATGTTTCATTAGAAACTCAGTTTTCCTGCATATTTTGCATGCAGTTTTTTTAATTTAGAAAAGTCATTTTCTCTAAATTTTGAATTAGCATTATTTTAAACTTTCTAAAATTGAAGTATCCAACCTTAGGTTTGTTTACCTTTGTAAATGTTTGCTAACACTATCAACATCAAGCAAAAGTTCAGACCAGACAATTGTATATAGCACAAATACAAAATTGATTACATTTCTGTCAAAGATCATAGCTCAGTTCTTCTTTGTTGTTGGTATTTAAAAGATTGTTTTAATATTTTAGCACAGTATCCAATTACATCAAGCCCAGTGGAGATTTACATACATTTATATGTAAAATAATATTATAAATGCTCATAATACATGTTGAAGATTTCCTGCAATGAATTTTGTGCACACATACACAACAATCTTGAACATCATCTATATAAATTACAGACAGATCCTAGAAATATCGATAAACATTGTAACCTCAAATTCCCATCATAAGAATATAAAAATTGTCAACTATTTCAGTGACACAATTCCATACTTATCCACATCCTACGAGATTCTCAGACCTATTATGGAATTGGTCAAAATAGAAAAATTTTGCTTAAGACAAATCTTTACTAATTTGGACTTTCTGATGCAATGCATGGACTAATTAACTTCACTTAACAAGATAATGGTTTGGTGTAATGTTTGGATAACACATGAAAAACACGAGTCACTAAAATCTTTCCCCAAACAGAGCAAGACCTTCAGGCATCCCCTTTTCTCAGCACTCCTTGAATTTTGGTTGTGGTTTCATTATTCACTCCTTTTTTGAGCTCCTTATTTTCCTTAGCTCCTTTAGTGTATCTTGTTTTAACAGCATATACTAAACATTTCTGTTATGAGCCTGAGAAATGTTTTCTACTTGCCACAGTTAAAGTTAAATTAGAAAGTGAAATTGATTTTAATAATATATTTTATTTTACCCAACATATCTGTAAAATGATAGCATTTCAACATATAATCAATATAAAATATTAAGATATGCTTCTTTGTTAAGTCTTCTAAATCCAATATTTTGACATTAGTGCTTTAGAACAGCCTCAGTTGAAGTGTTCAATGGCTACATTGGCTAGTGGCTAACAATATTGGACATTGTAGGTGTAGACCAACCCATACTCAAATTGAAAAGAAATATGAATTGTCTTATTTTGTAAAATGTTTTCCAGTCTTCATTAGTGACTGTCACAAATATTGCACAATTTGAAAGTATCTCTGAAACTACAAGTTGCAACAAGAAAATAGACTCAGTATGACTGAGAAAAAGTACTTTGTTAGGAAAGACTCTATTGTGTAACTAAGAGAAGGAATTTGCCATGTTAAATAATTTGTCCATTCTCTTACCTTTCCCCACCACCAGTCAAATTCTCTGTCCTCAGCAGCACAGTCTGTCTCAAACTTAAGCAGCAGCACAATGCAGAAACCCCCACACCTACTAAAAGCAGCTGTTTTGTTTCAAAGACATAGGACAAGAGATGTGAACAAGCCTTCCTTGAAGCTGAGCAGCACTTCTGGCATGTGGATCCCTATAAAGTTCTGGGCCTACCACTTAATTCCTGGTTAAAGGTCAGATATTCACGGCTTTAAGTGACTGAGACTCAGCTCTTTTAATTTTATGAGTAGGCTCTCAAAGAAGAATGCACCACCTTTACATAGGCAAATACTTTGCCATTGCAAGGCATCCTGCTATAACCACATGTGAAAAAGAGAGAGAAAGGGAGAGAGATTTGGACAAAGGAAAAATAAGCATTCGGAAATACAGCTCAGATTAAAAAGGTGCGGACAATTGCCCCAGTTTCTCTCAAGAACAAAGAACAAGAGGCAGGACCCCTGCTTTGTTGGTGTAACTGAATAGCCCAGTGAGGCGTCCCCCTACCCCAAAGCATCTATGCTTTGAAGGACTGTTTGAATTCTACACATTTTCTTCCAAATTCCTTTTCAAGCATCTTTTTCTAATTTTATCTGACCTCTGAATACAAGAATAACATTTTTTCAAACTGAGATCTAAAATGGTTAATGAGCATTTTTTCAAGTCATTCATTCATTCATGTAAATATATTTTCTACTACATCTGTTCCATCCCAGCTACTGTTCTAGTTGCTGGGGGTAAAATGCATGCTTTTGGTCTTTTAAAGGATTCATGCCATTGTCTGGCTTGTTTATTTGCTCAAGTGGAAATATTTCTGTATGCAAGGTGCCTGGGATGCTCAGAAGGCTCTGTATACAAGCAGGCAGAGCATCCATTACCAGTGCTATTTCTCCAGAGTAATAGCAATTAAATTCAATTCTCCATATTAATCTGCATTCACTTTATGACTGTTGATGACCTTGAAACCATGAATAGCCGCAATTTAACTGAGGCTGAAGAACCCAGCTGGGACTCCCCTCTGATAATATACTGAAGCTATAGAAAAAATTAATTCAACCTGGTTACGGCTATGTTTTACAATCCCCACAACTGTTCTCACTGCATATAACTGCCTATTCTGCTGAGGGGATCAATGGATTATCAGTTGTTTCTGATAATTTGCATCATTACATCTTTCTATTTATGAGTAAAATGGCAGATTGAAAACAGTATAATTAAGATGGAAGATAACAATACAACGGCTTTTAGAAATTAATGTGAAAATATAATTTATTAACTATATAGCCATTGACTTAACTGTTTGTAGTTGTAACACAAGATAGGAACATCTGGGTATATTTCTTATTTTAGGCTCAACATCCCTTAAGAAAATGTGAATGCTGGCCCATGAGGATTACTAGAGTGATCAAAGTAATGAAGTCAAGAGGAAAAAATCAATAGCATTTATTCTGAATCGTCTGACTCAAATGATGTGGTAAAGCATTGATTCCTTTTTTGAAAATGCTTTGAATATATATGAAATTTTTTCATTAAAGTCTAAAAATCTTAATAAATGTCCATTCTATATTTCCTCAACAATTGTTAGCCACATTTTAATTTACACACACACACACACACACACATATATATACATATATACAGTCTTTCAAGTCTCTATAGACAGAGCACACACACAGACACACACACACACACACATATATATATATATATATATATATATATATATATACACTCTTTCAAGTAGACCAAAGCATGCTCACATTTATTACGGCATTTATCTTCATAATAACCCCTAGGAGAGACAGAGGGGCTATTATTATCACCTCCTTGGAAATAAGGAAGTGAGGGAACAATAGGTCACATTAATAAAGGCAAGCATGAATTGCTTTGTAGCTCCAAAGCCCTGCAAAATAAAATAATGCTTAGTTTAGTGTATTTTTAGAAATAATTGTTTCCCAGGTGCTTTAAAGGCAATATTTATCACCTTAGACTTAATCTGATAATTGTAAAGTGTAGTAGGATTTCAATTATCCTAGAGGCTCATATTTTATTTCTAGATATACACTACATATGAGAAAATAATGCCTGAATGATACGTATCTAAGTATTAAGAAGATTTTGGTCAATAATTAACATCTGAAGAAAATCCAACAATTTCTACTTATGCTTGAATACTTGAATAATTAATTTAAGATAAATGTCAAAAATGCAATTCACATTTCCTGGGATAGGTCTACTATTCTAAACATACCTCACATAATCACTCACTTTCAAATGCGTTATATTGAGAGATTTCATAAGAATGCAAAATGGCTAATGTACAATTCAGATCAGTTTCATAACCTTGGTTCAGATGAAAATAAGGGGAAAAAACATTCAATATGCTTTAGTTACAAAAAGAAACAACAAAAACCCAGACAATAAATAAGACAGCCTCTAAACCTTGCCTCGCTAGACAGTCTGCTCTGGGCAGGCAGCCCTTGGGGAACGGTTTAATTTATGTCCCAGCCAAAGGGCGTATGCCTCAGGAGCTCTCAACGTGTGTTCCAGCGTTCGGCTCCTCATCTCCTCTCAGTATTGGCATTAGCTTTTTCTTTGCTGATCCTACCACATAAAAAGCTTTTTCAAAAAATCAGAGGCAAAATGATAGAACCCTTTGTTTACTTTCTTCATTCTTTTTTCTTTTTTTATAAGAGTGATTATATACTTAATACTCTAACGTGGTTATAGCTTAGGATTCTCTGTGTCCTGAATTTAGTCCTAGAAGGGGATTCTGTAAATGTGCACCTTTAGCCCTTTAAGAGCTTGCATTTACTTGTCTTGTGGGGGCATGCACACCACCCTCCTGTACCTAGATACTCTAGCTACATCCACGGAGCCTCCATGTCTGTATCCCAATAAAAAACTACAGAAGACAAACATACCTGAAGAGCATATGTCAAAGGCAGAGGTTGGTGTCCTGCTGAAGTTTTCCAACTAGAAATGGAAGGGCACCTGGAATGAGGAATATGTGTCAAGTACCTAGCATGTTGCCTGAGGAGAACATAAAAAAGACTAAATAAACTAAATTGTAGGTATCAGTTAAACATTTATCCCATTTGTGGAGTGTCATCTTCTGCTTTAGATTGTGTGGAAAAGTTCAAAGGGGGCATTTTTAGCTTCACTGTGCACTGAGGCTCAATAACTGCCTTCTGAGGTGCCAAGAAAAGATTCAAACCCACTGTGCCGTCTCATTGCCCACTTAATCCCCGTGCTCTTAGTGTGTCTAAATGACTGTTTCATTTGCTGTGAACAGAGAACGAAGTATTTTTGGTACTACAAGGCACTTAAACTTCTCATTGGCTCTTTTTAAAATTTGGTTTTGATAAGAATAACTCTCGTTTTCATATCTGTAAACAAAAGATAGAGATGAGGGTGGTTAGTGAATATAATGCTGACGATATTTTCAGATTTGAAATGAATCGGCTTTCCATGTGTCCAGAGTTGCTCAGAGCCAAGTACCGAGAATCAGACGGCGGTGTGATTCCCCGCGTTCATAAACGGTCCTCATTCCGACAGAAACTTGTTTTGACAGGGTTCAGCCCAGGCCTGAGTATTGGAGGGGGGATGTGAGTGGCAGAACAGAGGAGCCGATCAAGCTCTCTGGAGTCAATTTGGTCATTGCTCTTCCCAAGTGTCCTAATATCTTTGGAGAATTCTCTGCCTTCCATTGCTTTTGTTTTTGTTTTGCAGGGCACCCAGTGCCGTGTGAGCTAACCCAAAAGCACTAAAAGGTGCAAAATCACACCCGGAAGGTAAGGATTCTCCCCTGCCTACCTAATCTGAAGTGACCAACTCCCCAAGCCCACCACCCAGTTTCATTTTATTTTAGCCCTTGTCAATATTGGACATTTTCTAGTTCATATAGTTTCCTGTCTATAATCTGGTGACCCCAGCATGTAGAAAACTTCCTGAACTACTATCCTTATGCAATAAATATTCTTTCAGTTAATAATTGAAGGAGAAGGCTAAGGTTTTAAGATATCCTCTTTACCTCTTCTGTAAAGTAATGATTGTTGTCAGGCTGATGTGTTTTATTTAGTTTAGATCTGTAGAACCTAGGAAACCATAAAACCGTTGTGTTCTTATCACACTCTTGATTTCCCTGAAACAAGAAAAAAGGAAACTAGAACCACCCAGCCTCCTACATGTCTTAAAATCTGTAACTCCAGCTAATCCTTAGTACCAGGGAACAGAAACCGAGGAAACTCTGATGGACTGTTCCCCATTTTAGGAGTTAAACTGAAACTGAGTCAAATTAGCGATACAATAAACCAAACACAATTCAATTAGTAGCTATTACTTTGAAAGGTAGAACTTGTAAAAAGGGTGCTGACAAGGAAAGAATTCTTTGAGTCATTAGAATCCATATTTTATTAGGATAAGAGTTAAAAGAGATGGAATAGTGACTGTTCCACTTGCGGCAGTCGTTCATCGTACAGTAGAGACTTTTCTATATCATTGTTTCACCTGGGGCATGTGGCCTGGAAGCTCTCTCTTCCTTTTCATTCACAAGTTTAGACACTGATCAAGAGTTTCTGCCAAGGTACTGGAAGACTGACCAATAACACTGCGAGGTGAGGCTGAAACTCACCGTGCCAGTGACCTGTGAACCCGAGTGATCAGCCTTAGGAGAACGCCACTTAACGTCTGAAGTCCCCTTTTCTGTGGCCCAGGTGACTTAATGTGACCTTTTATTGGACTGAGAAGACTGATGTCGGTTTCAGGTCCATGTATATAAGGGAGATGTATATTTATATTATTCAGAATATGCAAGGTTATGTTGCAGTACTAAATGATGCCAAAATCTTAGTCACTTAAAACAATGTTTACTGCTTGTGTTCTACATGAACACAAGTTCGCCTAAAGCCGTGCACGGTGGCACACACCAGGGTCCAACTGAAAGGTGTTGTGCTAGCACACAAGCAATGTCAGCACAGTGCTTCTACTTTTGCCTTGACAAGAAAGAAGAGTAGCAACGCCGGCTCTCCACTCTGGGATGCTGCTTTCGGAGAGACAAAGATACACGTGTTACTGCTGCTCACAACTAATGGACCTAAGTGAGTCACATGTGCATTCCTAACTTTAAGAGGACTATTTTCTTCTTGTCCATCTAGAAGAGCTTTAGTTATGTCTGCCGTAACAGCTCTGAGTATAAAAGAAGGTGTGTAATAGAAACTGCGCAAAGTAGCATAACACAGAAAGGTATTTTTTACAGGAAAAATAATGCAGAGCTACCAGAAGCAGGAAATGAAAAATGGGTATAATTTGCCAGTAAAAGGGAAAAAATGTGATCTAAAATTAGATAATAGTGAATATACTAAAAACTACTGAATTGCACACTTTGTGATTGAATTTTATGGTATGTGAGGTATATTTCAATAAAACTATAATTTAAAAATAAGAGCTGAAATCTGAAAAAAAAGCTAAGAACAAAATGCTAGCCATTTAACCTCTTATGTTAACAAATACTTGGAAGTATAATAAGTTATAAAATACAAACAAACTGTAAAACCAAGAAATGAGATTGAAAATTTTTATTTACAGTTTTATAAATGAGGAATTTGGCCTAGTTTATGAATTAATTATAAATTACCAGACAGCAACAAGCATTTATGCTCTGTACTATAGCCAACATTGTGTCAATGCTAATACATGGTGGATGCTTATTCCCTACTTTAAATGATGCTTCTCTCTCGATTCCATCCAGCACTGCAATATTAAAAATGTGCAGTGCTAATTCTTAGACTCAGTGAAATTAAAGAATCTGGAAATATATTCTGATTTCTAAAAGTATGTTAGATGTACATCCCCATAAAATATGGGTGATAAAATGTGAAATTCATAAAACTAAAAAATTTTTAAATAATGTTTAATATAAGATGAAATTTCTATAAACCCAGATGTTCATAATGCCAGTGAACCAACCGGCAACATTAACTTGGGAGAACTTTGGGGGAAAACATAAGTTTTTATATATATTATATTTCAGCTGAGGCAAAGAAAATTATGTCTTGAGCTAGTAATGTTGTTCTAATTTATAACAGTAGCATGAAGGTGACTTTTACCAGGACAGAATGATATTGAATTATTCAAAAGAAGAACTTGTTTTTTTCCCACAACAGTGGCAACTAAGAAACAAACAAATAATGAATCAGCATATTTGAGTTTTAAATTTCTACAGCAAGATGAACATTGGGCACATTTAAATTTCAAATAAAATCTATGATTGTACTGGCGTCAGCAATGTACTAAAGTTATTTTTCTTATCTTGCAGTCATAAATGCTTTCACCACTGGGGATATTTTCCCCTTTCATAACTGTTAATTGAAGAAGAAAAGTAATGATGGTAAAGAGAAGAGCTCAAGAACAGTAACCCTTGTGTTCCATGTGTAATCAGTGCTTTTTTCTCCCTTGTGTTCTCTGTCTTCCTGCCTATTTTCCTTCTCTCTCTAAAATTTGTTTTTAAATTTTTATTTCTTTTACCCTGTGATCCTATCTTGCCACTCCCTCCATTTTACAAGATGACTTGCTCTTTTTACATAACGCTCCTATTCTTAGATATCACTTTTATTTATCTGCATTGTTTTATAAATATGCTTACTAGATATGAAAATATTGTCCTTTCCAATCAATTTTAAGTTTTCCTAAAGCATTATTTTACACAAATGAAAAACCAATAGCCAGTCTTTGAAGTTAAACCCATTGAAATTACTGGTAGCAGTTTTCTTTAACCTATCAGGGTTCTTTTAATTGTCTACCTGTTTGCAGGAATTCTCCACAGGTATCCTAATCGCTTCTCCAACCCACAGGGTTTTGGGTTTACTACAACTCTTTGGATCTGGTTGGTGAGAATCAACAAATATCCTAATGCCTTGGTGGGACACATTATGTGCCAGAAGTTGGGATGTAATCTCCATGAAAATTCCAGGGCCTGCTACCTCAGCAGAGTTTCCACAGTGCCAGTGGCCTGTGCCATGTTAATACACATGAATAACAAAGTGAAAAATAAGCTGCTATGCCCTGCACTCCCCTACCACTGAGGAGGCCCAGTAGGTTCTTCTGGCAACAAGCATTGTCAGCTCTCCCCTGGCCTATACCTATGGCCTCATGAGTTTCTTATAATCAAGTGTATGAAAAAGAAGCATTTTAATCCAGAAAAAAAAAGATTTGCTAACTAGTCAGAACTATACAACTATAGCAAAACAATTCCACCCCTTTGGGGTACTGGAAGACAATGGTAGGAGAAATCTTCAGAGTCGGTGGAGTCTTGAGCGGTGTATTTAGTGCTTCACTTCCTTGGTAATGGAGGTGACCAGATAATGAATATATACCAATTAATAGATGATTTCAATAGACTGACTGAATAGTGATGAAAAGAGAACAACACGTCTGAAGCATTAGTGACCAGGGAGCCAGAGGAGGAGGTAAATGGGAGATCAGCAGAAAAGGACCTTCTTCCTAGCTAATCTGGCCGGGGACCAGCATTGCCGAGTACCCACTCTGTCAAGGGCTGAGATGAAAGCTGAGCCCAGGATGGCACTGTTCCCTAGGACCAGCCAGTCACCTGGAGGCAAGGTGATGCTCTGAACTCCTATATCTCATGAAGAGTAGCGAATCGGGCTTGTGGAATAGATGCTGTGGATATGGGTTTTCCTTGCTAGTCCCATAAACTTTTGCCCACAGCATCAACCTTGGACTTCCTGCCATAGGATCTCCAACATTGTTTCTGACCAAGAAATGTTCACTGTGTTGTAAAGAGAGGAAATAAACTCATATCCATGGGATTCATTGTTCTTACCAGCTACCTAATCAGCTAGAAGTATAACGAGGACTCATGGGTCTAGAACTAAGGGAATAAGTACAAGTTGCTCATGTCATTCCTAATGTACCAAATCCCATCAATGAAAAAATGAAATTTCTATGAACCCAGAAGTTCATATTGCTAGTGACCCAACAGGCAACGAAGGGGCTCACTGAATGGTTTAGAGTGAATGGTTTTCACGATTAAGGGAAAAGAAGGTCTCACAGCATGTGAAATCGAAGGGATTCTCTGGGAATCTGTTCTCCTCCCTTGGGTAGTAGGAGACATCAAGGAAGGGACCACAGCAGCCAAGTGCAGTTGGGGCCACTAAAGCTGTAGGGAGCCACACTATGTAAAGAGCTATAAGCAGCTGAAATGCCAAGTGAGGACAAAGGTGACGTAGAAAAAGAAAGTTATTAATTTCACTATTGGCTTCCATCCAGTTGCAGAAATCATGATAGTATCCATACTTTTTTGCTATTAATATATTTGCATTTATTAACTATATACTTTTTTTGTTTCTCCTACTATTTTATTTGGTGGCGGATAACTTTATAATTTACTGCTTAGGTTAAAGTTTATCAAGAAAGTGTTATGACCAAACTAGAAAGGTAAATGACATCACCTTGGTTTGGATAAAATAAGATATTTGAGATATTCCCTTTATAGGGAGAGAGTGAACACACCTGTATTTGAATAAGAAATAATCGCAATGTGTTAGATTTAATAGTGTTGTTACTTCTGTTTATAAATTTAAATGAGATAGAAGGGTCTGTATGGATGCTGAATGGCCAAAGGAATGATTGTGCTACTATTGATTTTTGCTAGCAGCCAGCATGGACCTTTATTGTTGTTGGTTTTTTCTTGCTGTCCTCATATCGCAGTGACAGGAGTCTAGGAAATACATTTTCCAGAATTCCCTGAAGCAGGTTTCAGGTTTAGACTCCACCAAGCAGAGGCCACAGAGTTTGAAAGAAGCAGAAACCATTATTCTTCATCCAGCCAGGAGTCCTCATGGGCTTCAACAGAGGGGATACTTTGTAGCTCCTTCAGCTCCCCTGAAAATTGTTCAGCCTTGGTGAGCTGAGATCATTAGTGGAGGCTTACTCTGATTCTAGAAACTTCCTAATCCTCTTCTGGCTGGTGATAAAACTGAGTAATAGTGCTTTCCTCAATCGCTGCTCCTCCAGTCCTTCCGTGTTATTTCTAAGTTCACTGTATTAAATTTCTTCCTGCTTGAAATACCCCAGCATATCCTTTATTTTTCTGATTGATCTCTGATACCATGAAATTGTTTAAATCAATCCTGAAAATTTGAGATATGGTGATACTGCTTGTCTTAAACTTAACTTTTTCAATGAAAACTGGATCAATTCTTACCACTAAGAGCAAAGTCCTTTAACAGGCTCATAATATCAGAAGTAAAAGAACACTTGATTTTGGAGAAAGAACATAAATAATCTATGGTACTCTGTAAGGTCATTGTATTTAGCTAACATTTCTTGAATGCTTACCTTGTGCTAGGCTCTGTTCTGAGATCATTACATATCTTACTTCATTTAATTCTCACAATACCTCTATGAGGTAGGCACTGTTTTAAAGCTGTAACAACAGAGGCTTAGAGAGGTAACTTGCCTTACATGGCACAGTTTACACTGCAGTAGAGACTGTATTTATATCAGGTATTTTGATTTGGTAAACACTGAAGTGTGCTGCTTTTAATACAATAAATAAAGACTAATCCAAAGATGCACAGTCAACAAAAGTGGGTAAAATGAATAATGTAGGTAAGCATATACTTTATAGAAATTAAAATGTTTTCAAAGGTTGCTTGCAGGGCATGAATATGTTCCTTTCCTTATCTCCCTTGGGCCCCAACTTCCACTGCTACTCTGGTTTTGTTTGTTTGTTAGAAATAATGATGATGGCTATGTTAACAGCTAACATTTATTGATCAGATATGGGCCAGGCACTGTATCAAGCACTTCACAAATGTATCTCATCCAATCCGCAGCAGAATCGTATTATTGCCCACATTTCACAGATGGGAGGGTTGAGGCTTAGGTGATCACGTGACTTTTCCCATGTAAGTGACAATATAAATAATGACTTAGTCCGCTTGCTCTGGAGCTTGGCACTCAGCTACCAGGTGACCATGTTCAGGAATCTGTCATCATGAGGGAAATGTATTCATGCTCCTTGGAGAGAGCCCTGATGTCTTGAAAACATTGGAGAAATTTCAAATTTAAACTTCTC